GGGGACATTGGGGACATTGGGGACATTTGGTGTAATTGGGGGCATTGGGGTAAATATGGACAATGGGGTAAATAGGGACAATGGGGACATTGGGGGCATTGGGGACAATGGGGGCATTGGGGACAATGGGGGCATTGGGGGAAATGGGGACAATGGAGTCATTGGGGACAATGGGGACAATGGGGGCATTGGGGACATTTGGGGATGTTGGGGACATTGGGGACAGTGGGGACAAAGGGTCAATGGGGACACAGGGGACAATGGGGACACAGGGGACACACAGCGGTCACACAGAGCACAGGGGACACAACAGCGTCCCCAGGGCGCCCCATGGGGCGCTATGGGGCGCTATGGGGCGCTATGAGGGGCTACGGGTGGCTATGGGGGGCTATGGGATGCTATGGGGTGCTATGGGGCACGATGGGGAGCTATGGGGTGCTGTGGGGCGCTGTGGGGAGCTATGGAACACTATGGGATGCTATGGGGTGCTATTGGGTGCTGTGGGGCACTAGGGGTAGCTATGGGACACTATGGGACACTATGAGATGCTATGGGGTGCTATAGGGAACTATGGGGGGCTATGGGGCGCTATGGGATGCTATGGGGCGCTATGGGGAGATATGGGGCGCTATGGGGAGCTATGGGATACTATGGGACTCTATGAGATACTATGGGGTGCTACGGGGTGCTATGGGGCGCGATGGGGTGCTGTGGGACACTATGGGGGGCTATGGGACACTATGGGACACTATGGGACTCTATGAGATGCTATGGGGTGCAATGGGAAACTGTGGGGCGCTATGGGGTGCTATGGGGTGCTGTGGGGTGCTATGGGATGCTATGGGGTGCTGTAGGGCTCTATGGGGAGCTATTGGACACTATGGGACTCTATGAGATGCTATGGGGTGCTATGGGGTGCAATGGGGAGCTATGGGACACTATAGGACTCTATGAGATGCCATGGGGTGCTATTAGAAACTATGGGGCACTATAGGATGCTATGGGGAGCTATGGGGTGCTGTGGGATGCTATGGGGAGCTATGGGGCACTATAGGACTCTATGAGATGCTATGGGGTGCTATGGGGAACTTTGGGGCGCTGTGGGATGCTATGGGGTGCTATGGGGCACTATGGGGTGCTATGGGGCGCTATGGGGCG